TTTAACTCATTTGTCTAAAACTTAGGATGTTAAGATACCCAGACTTTGAAACTAAACATTATCACTTCAGTACCTTATGGGGGGCTCAGTGATAAAGCGGTCAGGAGACAAAAAACATGTGGCACAGACTTGGTTCTTGTATACTGTACGCTGTAAGATAGAGTGTTATGACCTGATCAGACAGACACAACTGAGAATAAATGGTTCTGTATGTCATTTTGTAAGTTTTGTGTAGCCTTAAATGAATATGATAGCACAGTTTCATTTATGGACAATTAGCAGTACATCAGTGTTCATCGTTATTCAAATATATGAAAATCGAAACTACTGTTTAGCAATCAATTGTTGAAATAGGGCATGTGTGGTTAGAATTAAAATTAATTAATTACAAAGTAATTATTAATATGATAGTCACCTTCTGTCTTCTGCAGTTTTCTTAGTTTTTTTTTTTACTTAAAGTGAGACATACAACCACAGAAATTGCCAGAACACATGCATCTGATATGGCAGATCGTGATGGCCAAATCTTAGCAGAGATAGAGATGAGCATATGTCTAATGAATTTGTTCTGTGTGGAAGTTTGCGACTGCGTTATGACTGTGTAGGTCAGCCAGTTTTGTTTTAAATCACTCGCACTTAAACACAAAGATGCATCACTAATTAAACAATTAGGTACAGAACAGCTCTTATGTAAACAAATGCTAAACCTTGTGTGCTTTTTTTCATAAAACGTGAAGTATTTTCATATTAAGATTTATGAATAGTGTTCGCACATACTGGTTAATAACACATAATAATTAAGATTCCATACTAAACCAGTGTGCATTACGATGAGCATATTTTTGATGGAAAGTCAAAGCAGAAAATCTCTGGCACAATTTTAAAACTTTTAGATTATGGTGCACGTCATTTAGCTTAATTTGGTAGACTTACTGTCATAGATGCGAGTAAAGACACTGAGTGTCGTATTTGAATTCATATTTTTCCACTATGTTCAGGATCTTGATCTGCAGTTGCAACCACCTCTTTTACTGCCCCCAAACTTTGAATCTACATCAATTTGTAGTAAAGTTTTGGAAGAAATGAAGTATAAAATAGCTTGATTTTGTTGAGGTGTTTTTCTTGTCAACTGATGTTAAGAGTGATAAGCGTAATGTCAGTGGACACAGAGGGACATTCGTTGCTCACACCTTATTAGCATCACACGGTTCTTTTTTCCAGCCGTAGATGCATTTGCAGAAAGGGAGATTCCTGACTGGTAGTGATATTAGTCACTGCACATCGTCGTGCGTCACGGGTCGTTGTGCCCCCCTTTCTGCAGGTGTGTCTGCAGTCTGCAGCTGAGTGGCATTGGAGTTTGCAGAGCAACTGCTTTTCAAAGTGTTCTCGTTCTGTGTGTCCAGAGATGTATGTGCAGAATGGACCGGGCCAGACCCGTGCTGTAGGCAGCGCACCAGCCGTCTGTGCCTCCTTCCTTCAGGCTGCCCGAGTCTGTGCTGTGATTTTGAGCTGCGGCCGCATGTGTATGTCAGATATGTCAGATTTTCAGTGTTGTGTTCAGTAATGTGGACTTTTTTACCCGTTTATTTGTTGTGTTGTCACGTCCGCCGTGATGAAGGTTCTGATCGTTTGCCTTTAATGCAGTAGTGCATGCTTCTTGCTTTGCTAATACACTCCCCTGCACCTGCATGCTTTGTATCTATGACTGTTTGATAATGAGGTTTTGTTTGTAAATTGTTTGTTTTAATATTTTTTTTTCTACACATGCTCACTAATTTAAGAATGAACAATAATAACACAAAAAACAAATAACAATAAAAAAACAAACACAAGCATACTACATATCATGTGTTTAAGGTGTTAAGAGCATTGGAGAGTAAGATCTTTTTACACTTGTTGCAAACTTGCCATACGTGGACATTTATGAACACTTATGTACACAGGTCCACATATTATTATGCATTCAGAAATTTCTGTGTATGACTAATAAGCGTGATGTGTAGAGCGGTATATTTAATGTGTTTGTTGAGGTTTTATAATGTGCTTAATTAAAGATCTTCTCTGTCAGTTGTCAGGAAGATGTAAAGAATTGCAGCAGGATTGCAAACTAGTCAGTAATACTTAAACAGCTGACTGTTTGAAAGTTTTGAATCACTGTCCTCAGTAAAAGCAATCTTGTTCCAAATACAGGTAGATTATGTAATTATTTCAATATGATTCTAAAATTTTAAAAAGCTTCTAACAATTCTTGATGGAAGCTGTAAAAATTAATCAGTGTTTGATGATGAACAGAGCTGTAGATGTTTTATTAAAAACTGAGAAAGCTGTACAGCATCAAGAATGAACTTACAATAAAATTAATATCCGAAGTGCCTCATATTTGAAAAGCAGAAAATCAGATAGTGTTTTATGGTAATTTTGTGAGCAGAAATGACTATAAATAGTAAGGATGTAGCACATACTGCGTTCACTGTGAACACAGCTTTAATGAATGGGTAATCGATAAGGTGCAGGGAGGAAAAAAATAATATAGGTTTACCTTTTTAGGTAACAGCACTGTTGCGCAAAAAAGTATCAGCGAGAAGAGGAATATATTTGAAAATATGTTTAATTATTCAAAACTATTTAAAGGAAATCAGTAATAGGTCTTCGTGTTAGATGAGTAACATAATGGAGACGGCCTCAGATGAGCTACCAAGCTACTAGCTAACTGGTATGTCTAGATGTTGAGGGCTTGTCGTCTTCTCAAAGGAGGTTTTTTTTTTTCTTCTTAGTGGACAAGGTGCCAAAATAATAGTTTGACAGACACATATTTTCACTCTTTCTGGACGTAGCTAACATCACATAGAGTAACTTGTTTAGCCATGTTAGGGAGAAACCTGCACTATCTCTGCCGTCTCAGTCACATCTTTAGCAATGAGCTAACGTTAAGGCACTTGGGTTTCGGAGTAGCAGCGTATAATATTTTACAAACTTGCTCACAAGGATGAGCAAACTCTCCACATTTTACAGTACAGGTTAAAAATAAAATCAGTATTTCACTGAATAGTCGGCCTGTATATTTGACTGTCGTCTTGTGATGAAACATAGTGAATAGCGTAATAGTGATTTTGCTATTCAAATACTGGCACTTCAAACGGTTTGCAAAGTACCCGAGCATCCTAGCACACCCCTAATAAATAGACAATTACTAGTATACAATATTATTTTCTATATCATTGCTTCTTGTTGTTCTCACTATACTTCCTGTTAGGAATAAACCATCAGTTTATGTTTTGGTGTCTAGTGTAAGAACATTTCAAATAACAGTGTATGTACACCGATCAGGCATGACATTATGACCACCTCCTTGTTTCTACGCTCATTGTCCTTTTTATCAGCTCCACTTACTATATAGGAGCACTTTGTAGTTCTACAGTTACAGACTGTAGTCCATCTGTTTCTCTGCATACTTTGTTAGCCCCCTTTTACCCTGTTCTTCAGTGGTCAGGACCCCCATGGACCGTCAAAGAGCAGGTACTATTTGGGTGGTGGATCATTCTCAGCACTGCAGTAACACTGATGTGGTGGTGGTGTGTTAGTGTGTGTTGTGCTGGTCTGAGTGGATCAGACACAGCAGTGCTGCTGGAGTTTTTAAACACCTCAGTCACTGCTGGACTGAGAATAGTCCACCAACCAAAAATATCCAGCCAACAGCATCCTGTGGGCAGCGTCCTGTGACCACTGATGAAGGACTAGAGGATGACCAACACAAACTGTGCAGCAGCAGATGAGCTATCGTCTCTGACTTTACATCTACAGAGGTAGGTCACATCTGACAAGGTAGGAGTGTCTAATGGAGTGGACAGTGAGTGGACACAGTGTTTAAAAACTCCAGCAGCACTGCTGTGTCTGGAGGTGGTCATAATGTTATGCCTGATTGGTGTACATAAATAATTGCAAACTTTAAATCGGTAGTGCGTGTACACACGTATCGCTGTTGTTGGAAGAAAATCTCAGAAATTATAACTTTACAGGAAAAACCTACTTTTCTTTTAATGTAAGTCAGTGGTACCAGACCTTTTTCCAAGTAATTTTGGGTCGTTTCTTTTGGTTCATTCTTCATGAAATTTACACACAATGTAAAGGACAACAGGCATTTTCAAACGATGTGAAAAACTGAAAAACGGAGATATGAGGTTTTCTTCTGACAGCAGCGATATACGTACTAAGGACAGGTCAAGGTCTAGCCTGGTCTGACAGTAGTGCGTATCTACTCAGTCCATAGTGCACCATTCTGTACGCAGTAAAGACATGGTTTATAGGTTTTTCAACATTTTACTGCTGTGTTCTCCTATTCAAAGATGGGAACCAATTTAAATTCTGTCTTTCCTCTAGAGTGTTTGTTATGCTCCCTTATATGTCTTGTAGAGAGAATTAATTGGGCCAGTATTTAGGTTGGGGTTTAGCCTAATCTACTTTCTTTATGTCATTTCTGAAAGCTAGGACACACAGCTCTAGGATGATTCTTAACCACGCTTACTGATTAGTCTCAGAGTGAACCTGTGAACAGATAGAAAAGTATAGAAAATGAGCAAACCTCTCCCTTAAGCCCTTTGTGTTTATGTACAGACTGTGTGTGTTGAGTCTAGTCCGTGAGATGACCTATATGATAATTCTTTCACTGTGTAAACCACAAGACGTCTTTGGTTCCTAATATAGCCACTCCATGAGGACCCTTAGGACTGAATGCAGAATTAGTGCTGTATATTAATGTTCGTGTCAAGTCAAGTTTGCCTGTGTTCCTCTTAGATTCCTCCAGGGCTAGTCTGGTGTCATGTGCTCTCTCTGAACAGCACATGACTGACTGTTAACATAGCCATGACCAGACCAGTCTTTGAGCCTTTTATATACCAAAATATATTCTTTGTCTTGCATTTATGTACACACCCTCAATGCATAACAAGTTAGAGGTGGTTCTATGTGCACTGACTAACTTGCAGCTCTTTTGTCTCCATTAGCTGGTCCCTCCTCCTCCTGAGCCAGAGGGCCTTGCTGAGGTGTGTTCAACACCCATATTCGTGTCTGTGCTTTTTGCACAGGTGCACTGCTGGAATATGGGTCGTTGCAGAGAGTAGTCGATCAGTCCTATAGGTCCCTAACATGTAGATGCATTTCATTAGTGCTGCAGTCCTCTATCAGAGCCATTCCTGCTTGCACCAACAAGAAACCCAGGCATACACCGCCTTATCAGACCCCATCAGAGCCATTCCTGCCCACGTGCTGGGATACAACTTGCATATAAAGATGCATGCATACACATACACATACACATACTCAAACAAGCACACAACGCCTCAAAGCTTTTCCTCTCTGTGCAAATGATATATATACCACTGACATTTTTTTTTATTCTTGGCTTTGGAAATGCATTTAATACACACATACAGATACACAGCCAAAGAGCCCAATCACTGGACCCATATGCAAGAACTGAAGATTGACACAATAACCATTTTTTCTTATACCAATGTTAAAGGTCTGCACAGGCTTGAAATTAAAGCCCGAACCCAACTTGTCCGCTTGGCTTTGAGAAAATGCCATGCTGGGATCAGCTGGCATTTTACACATCTGTAGTAAGCTAACAGTATTTATCACTACATTTTTATGGAATTTGTACCTGACAGACAGCAGCGTACACCCTCCTGATCAACTGTTTATCTGCTATGACCTTTTTACCAAACTACCACAGCCCTCTTTTCATCGTTATGGTGGGATTATGCCTGATGTGTCAATAAATTTCATCAATGGTTTCGTTTAGGGGCACGTTCACCTAAACTTTGAAGCTATTCCGAATGTTGCTATTGGCTATAACAATTCTAGAGAGAGCAAAAGAGAGAATATTTGTGACGGTGTGTGTAATTTATGTAGACATATTTCTTCAAATAAAAAGAAAATCACTTATTAGAAAACAAACCCAAGCTTGACTTGAGCCCAATGTTGTATGTGAAAAAATCTTCCTGAACCAGGCTCAAAACGCATATTTTGTCAAGGCCCATATGGATTGAGGTAGCACTGACACCTTGAATATCAGCAGAAGCAGATAATAAGCCACTATTTTTTCTTAAATAACTGATAATATTTAAAATGAGCTTTTTTAAAATTGAAGCACAAGCTCAAACTAAGTAAACACTGTACTACCCCACAGAAATAAATACACAGTCATTTTATGGTAGATTTCTAACAGTGCTGCATTTTTTCCCTCCGATATCCCATCCAACATTTTCTGCTGATGTCAGCTTAATACCGGTACCTGGTATCGGATTGGCGCCATCTCTAACGTGAACAGTTCATTTTTCCTGAATGGATCTGCTCTTTGTTAGTAATGGTGCCATGACCTCTTTCTGGTCTCTTGGCCCAGCTCACACGTCCGTCCATGCCCTTCTTTTTTAGCAGTATTCACATTCTCGTCCTCAATTTGGGGTGGGGTTATGGGTGGGAGAATGTTGTGTTTTGTTTGTGTGTGTGTGCGCAAGTGTGTGTGTCTGGGTGTTTTTCCATGGCAGATGGGGGCATAGGCTGTGCTCTGTGTCACTAGTGCACAGACTCTATTATGTAATCTGGATAAAGCATTTTTTTTTCCTTTTTTTTTCTTTTCTCTCTCTTCCCTCACTCCTGGCTGGCTTATTTCACCCTGGCAGCCTCGGCCGCTCTTATGTAATTAACATGGTTTTGCTCTGCCCTACGCCACTCCACAGGGACCAGAGAGCTCAGAGCCAGTCCACTCTTCTAAAATGACACCACACACATACAGGGCACAGGGCACTGATCAGTCAATTGTTTTGGGTATTGATACATCTAAATAAGTATCCTCGAAATTTTGACTGCACTTGCAAGGGCTTGGTTTCTAGACAGATGTTAAACCTAATCTTATAAACTCTCCGCTGAGAATACTTTTTTAAGCCTTACATTTTAGCTTTTGTCTTAAAACCAGACCTCAGTCAAAGATGGAGAAATATTTTTTTTTATTTGTTTTGGCGGTACACCCTTCATCCCATTCTTACCAGGGTTATGTGATGTTGTTAGATGAACCACTGCTTGTTTTGTCTTACACAGCCATGCACGGTTATGTTTCACTTGAACCGGCTCCCTCCCATCTCCCACACACACACACACACACACACAGACACACACACACCTCATGTCCTTCATTTAACTGCATGATGTAATCTGTCCCACTTTTCCTGCATGTCATGAAAATGACTAATGTGCACCGAATTAATCCCTCCTTTCTTTTCTGTTCTCCCGGATACTTTTTTTCTCCCAATCCCCCTCCTCCTGCCTCCTTCCTCCTCCTTTCGGCTTCCTGCTAACTCGCCTTGCTCTCAGGATCTTGATCCCAACCAGCCCCAGAAGCAACTGGAGGATCAGAAGCGGGTAGGTAGCTTCACGGCCCGAACCATGACCTGAGAGTGTGGCCCCTGCTGCAGCAGCATGCCCCCATTTGCACACCTGCACACGCTGCTACCTCTACTAATTGCCTTCTCATGGCTGCTTCCACTAGGGAATTGCCCACTGTACATACCAGTGTGTTCTTGTATGAACATTTTGTATGAATCTTGAATCTTGTATGAATAGTTTTAGGTTTTGTAATGGAATCTGAATACTTTGAGCTTATGTAAGGTCCTGTAATGATAATACAAAGATGTGCATACAATATAGCGAATGCTGTAGTGCAAAGACGTGCATATAGTATACAGTGTGAGAAGTTTCTGAGAAACCTTCATGGCTGCACATTTAGAACTTGAAATTTAAATTTCCAGGCTTGTTCACCCTAAATCTTATTGTTTAGTAACTACATGAAAGTGGATGTGTCATTCAAGTCATTATTGTGGGTAATAAAAAATTTGCATCTGTTGTCAGTTTATGGTCATTTAAAGGGTTAGCCACTAATTTGAGGTTAGGCCCAGTTTTCAGAAAGTACCATTCAGATCATTTCATATTAACTTTGAAAGCTCTTTTCAGAAGTTATTCCAACATTGTGTCTAAAAAAGTTGGGACGCTGTGCAAAATGTAAATAAAAATAGAATGAAAGAGTGTGCAAATCATTTAAACCCTATATTTAATTGAAAATACTATAAAGACAACATAACATGTTAAAACTGAAAAATTATATTGTTTCTTAGGAAAATTGTACTCGTTTTGAATTTGATGGCAGCAACATGTTTGGAAAAAAGTTGGGGGACAGGCTACAAAAGGCTGGTAAAGTTGTGCAATACTAATAAATAATAATAATAAATGAATAATAATGAAAAACTGGCAACAGGTCATGATTGGGTATAAAAAGAGCATCCCAGAGAGTCTTTCAGAAGTAATTATATTGGCAGTTTTTTTTTTTTAGCATTGCCCAACTTTACCAGCCTTTTGTTGCTCCTCTCCCAACTTTTTTGAAACATATTGCTGGCATTAAATTCAAATTGTGTATATATTTTTCAAAAAAAATTTAATTTCTCAATTTCAACATTTGATGTATTGTCGTTGTAGTATTTTCAATTGAGTACAGGGTTTAAATGATTTGCACATCATTGCTTTCTGTTTTTATTTACATTTTGTACAGCATCCCAACTTTTTTGGAAACAATATTGTAAAATCTTTGTTCATTGACTTTTGGACGAGACCCTTTCCCACAGCAATAATGAGAGTTGCCCCTTTAGAAGTCACCTGTTAGAAGATTTGCGAAGAGCTTTGGGTTTTTAACCATCCCGTTTTCAATCACTTATTTAAGGTTAAAGGTTTCAATCACCAAGGTTAATAAACTTAAAGTACATGAAATAGTCTTCAACAAATAAGATCTCCTGATTTCTCTCTGTGCTCATATACTTCCTTTCATGCACTGTGTTTGCCCAAATGTAAATGAATTAATAAATTCATATAATAAGATTGTTAGGTGTCGTGAATGTGTGTTTTGCTAGTGTAATCGCAGCAGAAAGGCAGAGTCTGGGTGATTTATTTTTAAAGGGTTTTTTGGTTTGTTTTTTGTTTATCGTGTTTGTTTTTATTATTTGTTCAGAAAGGGACAGGAGCAGATTCATCACCTCTCAGATCAGTCTAAGAGGTGATGTCACATATTTACTCTTCTTTGACTCCACCCCCTTTCCCGTTACCAGGGTGAAGCTTTGAGGCAGATCCTGCTCAACCGTTACTATGGCAACTTCAAGCCAGGGGGGCGAAGAGACAGCCTGACCAGCTTTAGCAATGGACCCCTGGGTCCGGGGGGACAGAGCAAACCTCCCGCAGGTGTGTGTTTATTTATAGTACACAATTAACATAGGTGTGTGTATTTATTTATTTATTATAGAAACAATACAGATAAACATTTTTGAATGAAATATGCAATGTAATATATAGATCATGTATTTATAGTTAGTAGTGGAAGCTAATTTGCAGCACCTATCCCTGGGGCTGGTAAAGTATATTACATACAGACTCAATGTTACCATATCAAATCATAAATCAACTAACCTTTCTAAGCACAGGCACATACCTTGTAGACTGGTTTAGGCCAAGGCAACCAACGTGTCCTAGACCGTAGAGTACAATGAAGGCCAGTCAGTATTACAAATCTCAGAGGACTACTCATCCTTCCTTCGGTTCATCCTTACTTCTTTCTCATTATCCCTCTGTCACTGTCTCTACTTTCATCTACCTTCATCCTTCTACTCCCGTCCATCTGTCCTGTCGTTAAATCTCATCTCTTCACCTTGCGTCTGCCCATCTGTTTGTCCTTCTATCTCTCTTCACCCTGCCCTTGTCACCCTTGGTTATATGCTGCCTTTACCATGTAGTCAGCGCCAGCTCTGCTGTTGCCAGGCAACGGGAACAGGGTGCCCACGCTTCCTGTGGGAATAGCCTGCGGACACACCTACTGAAGGAAGTGTGCTTGTGTGTCCAAATGTGTGTATGGATATGAAAAAGTGAAAAAATAATCAAAATAGTGTAAAATGTTGCAGCAAAGTGTGGTTATTATGTCTGTAATGTCAGTAATGTCCTACAGTTGCTTACGTTCAGTGTATCTAAGTAATAACGATGCTGAGTCATTAGGCCCTTTCTTTCTTTCTTTCTTACTTTTTTTTCTTTCGTTCTTCACTTGGCCTTGTGTATCTGTTTCTTTTCCTGAGTCAAAAATTGAACGTGCTTCTGGTCCTAATCTAGCCTATCTGTCCTGCTTTCATTCTCAGCAGCAGCTGGAGGTTCAGGGGCCACCCGTGGGGAGATGAGTTTGGCCGAAGTGCAGTGCCACCTGGATAGAGAAGGTGCATCTGACCTCGTCATCGACCTTATCATGAATGCCACCAGCGACCGCATCTTCCAGGAAAGCATCTTGCTGGCTATTGCTTTGCTTGAGGGAGGAAACACAGTCATACAGGTGGGAGCCAAGATCCATACTATTCCATTCTGTGGTGCTGCTTTCTGTTGTTTACTTATTCTGCCTTTATATTGCACTTGTTCCTGTGCATCTTTCACAAGGACATTGCTGGGTGGTAAGTGAAAGAAAAGTTACAGCACTTAGGAACAGTTTTTAAGGACTCATATCATGGAAAAACAAATTTCCCTTCCTTTTTTTTTTAAATAAAGTTTGTGTTAGTATGTAAACTTTGTCAAAGTTTCAGAATATGCTGTTCTCTGCCTAGTCTATACAGTCCATATATGGAAACCACACTGCAAAAACAGTTTTGCGGTTTTGAATTCATCGCTGCTGTGATATTATGAGAACTAACTCATTTACGTATTTAATTATATATTACCTATTCAGCTTACAGTAATTAGGCTCCACCCATTATTGGGGCTGGGGTGTATATGGCAGATGTGCACTACACTCAAAGATACACAAAGAGGGTTCAGAGAGGGTTTCAGTTCAGTTAACTGGATCAGATTGATTGGATAGAATTGGCTAGACATCATGTGATTGATCATGAGTGTTTAGGCTGTGTTCTGGAGCAGCAGGATGGTTTAGGAAGAAGGGCAAAGGGGACAAGAGGAGAGGGCTGAACAGCAGGGAAGCAGAGTCAGTCTTGGTTGGCCAGGCCTATGGTAAGAGAGTGAGGATGGGCAGGATAGAGGAGAAGCGGAGCCTAGAGCAGCGGCATCCTGTTCATATTTCACCTCTTCATATTTTGTCCACCAGTGCATTCTCTTATTGGCAGATGTTAATAAATATAGTTGAACAAGCTTTACAGAACTTTGGTAAAACTCTTTGTTAAATAGCAAAACTCCAGCCATAGTTCATTACGGTGAATGTACCCAAACTTGAATTTGTGGCCACAGCATGGATTGGTCAGTTCCTGTCCATCTTAACGTGAGTTGAATCAGGTTTGTTTGAGCAGGGAAATCACCAAACTGTGCTGGATTCTGGCTCTCTAGGACCAGAGCTGGACAGCCTTGACTTACAGAGAAGAATATATAGAGAGAGCAAAGTGTACATAGAGGTAAAAAGGCAGAATCAAACAGATGGATTAATATGTTAAGAGCAGGAGAGGTGCACTAATCGTCTTCTGGGATCACTCCAGCAGCTTCTCACGTCACTGTCTGCACACCCCCCCTCACCCACCCACCCCCCTGTGTTGCTGTGGCAACCCGGCAATCCGCTAACCTCACAGCAAGGTTGGGGGGCGGTGGAAGGAGAGAGCGATTGTAGAGCAATTACATTTCATTGCTCGGCAAGGCTTATTGGTTTTGTATGCATTGTTTTGTGTGTCTGTTGTGTTATGTGTATGCATTAGCCTGTGTGCGTGTGCGCTTGCACAAACAGATCCTGTTGCGTAATGGGCTTGTTATTTGCATAGCCATTCTACCTGATGCTCCCCCGACTTCCAGCAGGCTCTCACACAAAGCTGCTCACATGAGTGCCTGTTACATAAGCCAGACCTGGCAGAGAGAACACACACACACGCAACAGTGCACCTACGCCAAACACACACACGCTTAAACTGGGTCGCTGCTCACTGCCGGAACCAGGGCAGAGAGAGAGAGGGAGATCAATAAAGAAAGGGGGAGACAGTAAGAGAGTAGAAAAAATTGCTGAATTAAATTGATTACTTGATTCAACTTGATTACATGGCTTAAAATTTCTTTCTTGATGAATCGCAATCATTAGTTGGCAGTTTTTTGATGATAATACGTATTATCTCCTACTGCTCTCATTTACGTTAAGAAATGATTTTCGATTGACTCACCCACTTATATACATTTAACGCAGTAAATTAATTAATTTTTTTAACCCTGTTAACACATTTTCCAAGTTTGACCCTATGAACGTGTGCAGTTCCAGCCTGAAGCCCAGTTGCTTGTGCCCTGTTGCTAAGACTCTGACTGATGCCCTTTTGGTCATTCCACTGATGGCTGTCTTGATAGTCATAACCAGCTACTGCCACTGTAGGTTTGTTTATCGGTCTTAAATAAGCAAACAAAAGCACTGATGCCAGCAACGTCAGTAATATCAGTAAAGTAAGCACTGGAGGACACCTTCTGCAGACTTGCTGGACAGTGCTCGTGGGAGAGCTATAGATAAGTCAGCGAGCAGCAAACTAAAAAGCAAAGTGGGAAGCTCCATTTCCCCCCAAAACAAGACTTAATGTAGCGGTATGACACTGTGAGAGTTGCAGTTGTGGTGTGGGAATATGCAGCCACTGTTGCTCTTGCTGGATGCCTTTCATCACATGTTCACAGGAAAAAAAAAATGTTATTGAATTCCTGAAAGTGATAAATACATCCTGATGAAGGTTATTTTATTTATTCATTGTTATTGTTCGGTTAAGTCTGTTGTTGTTATATTTTGGTCTTTTTTTAAAAGCTTGGATTTCTTGATTATTCATAAAAAAATCAACAGGTTATTTTTGATAATGACAGCCCTAAAGAGTGGTGAATGGCAACTGGTATGTTATTTTCTCTGTTGGGGTTCCAGACTGTGAGCTACGCTTTTTTCATCGAATGCGATTCTAAGGCTGAGGTTGTGTGCCCCGAAGAAATTCCCTGCCACGCAGAGGTGGTTTGGAGGCCTCCTGCACTTGTACAGCATCTGACACGATTACACAGTCATCTCTGGGGTTTGTTAAGGACGGATGTCAAAAGCCACATGAGAGAGCGTGCGCGTGTTTGTGCGCGCGAGTGTGGAGGGTGTGAGGTGTTTCTCTCTCTAGGGTTAAGAGGGGAATTACAGCTCTTTACTTGTTTTAAGAGGATTTCTGCTCTCCTTCTGCTCTGTTTGTGCTTTTTCAGTGAATTCGCTCTCTCTTCCTCTCTTTGCTCAGTCGCTTCCTCTCCGCTCTTTCTCCTTGTTCTCTCTTTCTCTCTCTTTTGCTCTCATTCTCCTTTTCCGTTTCTTCTTGTCCTCTCTTTCTCCTCATTCTCTTTCATTCTCTTTCATAGACAATCATGATTGTCATAATTGGCATTTGAATGATTTTGAGTATTTATTTATTTATTTTCATTGTAAGCAGCCATTAAAGTACAGGCCTAAAGTCACCAAAGTGGATGATTAGCTATCTTGCTTTCTAGCTGTCCGTATTTAGTGGCTCCCAACTAATGACAGAAAGAGCTCAAATAAACAAACATAACTCACCGCTGCCCTTTTAAACTGTTAATGACAAGCATCAAATAAACAAACATTACTCACCGCTGCCCTCTAAGACCCTGCTTACACCTTGCATTAAGGTGTTTTGTGTCTGGATCATATCTGGATAGACTTTGGCCGGATTCTATTTACACTTTTCACCAAAATGAGTCCCCAGTGTGACCAGATTACGTTCGATTTTTGTTCCCACGTGAAAAGCATGTCAACACACACGTCGTTTCCGTTTAACTTTAGTTTACTCTTTTTCCCTTACGATACAAGTGGGCCAGTTTGGCTTGGAAACTATCATTGGCCTAGAATAGATGAAGGCTCCTGTTTTGAGGCTAATTTCAGTTTTGCGAATCTGCATATCCTTCATCTTTTGTTTCATTGTTTATTCTCTCATCTGCTAGTTAGCGCTCAGTAGATGCTTCTCTGCTTACATAATTGTATACAGATAACGAAAACGCACTTACACTTGTGTCAAATGTGGTCAAGATCCATCTCTGACCACCTCCCAGCGTAGTTTGTGTGATCTGATTGTAATGCGTTTATAATGCGTCCTGAGGGTGTTTACTGGTGCCGTCGAAAGATGTTACCAAATATCAAATCAACAAACATTACTTACTACAGCTCAGTAAAGGTGTTAGCCAACATCAAAAAATAAACATTACTCACTGCAGCCCCCCTAAAGGTGTTCACCAACGTCGAAAAAATAAACATTCATCACCGCCCTCTAAAAATGTTAACAAACATCAAATAAACAAACATTGCTCACTGCTGCCCTCAAATGGTGTTATTAACAAACATCAAATAAATAAACATTACTCCACCTTCTAAAGGCATTGCAGCCCCAAGTCAGAAGCTAGAACTTTTTGTTTTTGTAAGACTCCTGACGTCTCAAAAAATGTTTTTATGCATTCTTTTATTTACATGAAGCCACGTTTTCAAACCAACTAATGAAAACACACCCAATAATTGTTAACTCACATTGTTAGCTTAGAATTAGCTCATAATTGTAATTAGTTTAAATAATAGTGATGAAGTGATTGTGTAATAATTGACAGGCCTACTCTTTCATTCTCTGTCTTCTTTTTCTATCACATTCCCTCCTTTTCCGTTTTGTTCTTTCTTTTAGTCCTCCGTCTCTTGTTCTCTCTCTTGCTCCCTTTCTCTCCCTTCTATTCATCCACTGTCTCTCACTGTCACCTTGTCACTGACCAATCTGTGTGTTGCGGGCTGGTCTGACAATGACCATAATGTACCTTAATTTCACATCCTACATCCCACACATACACACACACTCACCTATTACATCATTCTCAAGGCACCCACTGGGCTTGAGTCAAGGTCTGGCCTTTTTTGTCCATTAGTTTCCATGGTGATGCTGGCGTGACTCACTGTCCCAGCTACCCAAGGTGTGTGCATGCATGCAAAGCTTCAGTTATCTTTCGCTGTAGCGGTTGACCAGTTGCTGCTTCTTTCTCGCTCTGGTATTTCAGGCCTGCTAGGGCCGTGGCCTGATTCACCGTAAACCCCCTAAACAGGCCCTCTTTGTTGCAGGTGCGTATATGTGACACTGGGTGAATCTAAATGGTATCAGTAGATGCATCACATTGCTGCGTGTTGCGTAAGAAGAGGCCTGCTGCCCTGCTTCTTTGACAGAGGAGCTTTTTGTTTCAGGGCAGCGAAATCAGGACAAAAACATGCTCGCTCATTTCTCCCAGTGCTTGGCTTGTTTGTTTGTGTGTGTTTGTTTTCGAGGTAATCCAAGGTGGTAGCCGGGCCAACAGAGACTGCTGCCATGGAGGGAGAGG